CTTGAAAACATAGAAAGCACTTCCCACAAGAATGTTTCTCCATTCTCTTTCACAGATGCAGTTTACTTAGGTCTGATCGATAATCTACCTTCCTTATAGGAGGAAAAAGAACTTTGAATTCCTGATTTATTTAAAAACTTCCTAACATGGGAAAGTGCTCCCGGCCAAATTGTTTATAAAATTCCTTTTTAGGGTGGCGATTCATTTTTGTTTAATTAGCATATTACCAGCAATATTGATCATAGTGTTTCTCAAGCTCAAGACAGAAATATAGATTGAAATTAAGAAATATTGTTGAAATGCTTAATTGTATGAGATGCGTGCAACATACTGGACTCGTGTGTTGCACGTGTGTCTCATACAAATAATATAGATGACATGAATCATAGACACTAGTATATATATAGCAAATGCATCTTCTAAATTTTGTCAAGAAGTTATTTTCTGCTTTAACATTATATTATTTAATTTGCAGGTTACTATGTGTCAAGGACGACACATTTCAAGTTAGATTATAACCAAGGTCACTCTCAATTTGCTTCAAGAACAAATGGTCATGCTATTTCCCATTCAATGATTGAAAAATCACATTCAAGAAGTCAAGTGTTGCACGTTTGTCTCATACAAATAATATAGATGACATTTCACATAGACACTAGTATATATATAGTAAATTCATCTTCTAAATTTTTTCAATAATTTATTCTCTACTTCACCATTATATTATTTAATTTACAGGTTACCTTGTGTCAAGGATAACACATTTCAAGTTAGATTCTAAACAAGGTCACTCTCAATATGCTTCAAGAGTAAATGGTCATGCTATTTTTCATTCAATGATTGAAGAATCACATTAAGGAGTCAAGTGTAAAGAAATAAGGAGTTGACATAGCTAATTTCACAAAGCCTTTTATCAAGAAACTAGATAAGTCTTTCATTTTTTTAAAAATGTTGAAGCAGTTGGCGATCAAAATATGGACTTGGAATTGAATCTTTACCATATAGTCAAAGCATCCAACTCACGCTTAGTTTGATTTTCATCCTATACTCAACAGCTTAAGTGGTGAGTCTTCATATTTGGAGGACGTTTCTTTATGCTTTCGATTTAGTTAGCTTATTATCAATCCTTTCAATTTTTTTAGAGTTTCTTGGGGACTCGTCCCAATAGCTCATCAATATTAGAGACTTTCAAACATAAAGTCAATGTTAAGTTGTTTTGGGGGTTGTTTCCCTAGATATTTGATTATATTTTCATTTGTAGTCCTTTAGTTTTGACTCATTTTACAGTTAGGCTTCCGCTTACTTAGTTATATTTTCAGTATGCTTATGATATGTCAAACTCAAAGTTAGCTTGGGATCGCTTCGGATCACTTGTGATCCTAGGTTCCGTGTTACATTTAGGGGTTACCCTCAAAAGTTGTATGTTTAATTGTTTACTTACTGTGATTCATGTCATGTATACTATTTTATGAGACACATGTGCAACGTACGTATGCAGATCCTAGTATATATATAGCCAATGCATCTTGTAAATTTTGTCGATAAATTATTTTCTACTTGAATATTATATCAATTAATTTGCAGATTACTTGTGTCAAGGACAGTACATTTCAAGTTAAATTCTAAACAAGGTCAGTCTCAATTTTCTTCAAGTGCAAATGGTCATGTCATTTTCTATTGAATGATAGAAGAGTCACATTCAAGGGGTCAAATTTCAAGAGATAAGGTGTTCGACCCAGCTAATTTCACAAAGCCTTTAATCAAGAAACTAGATAAGCCCTTCATTTTTTAAAATGTTGAAGCAGATGACGATCAAAATATGAACTTGGAATTGAAGCTTTACAATATAGTCAAAGGATCAAGCTCAAATCAGAAATATTTGATTAACAATTTAGGGTTGCGTCCAATTAGAACAATTTGGTATATATTAATAACACGAACCGAATTAATTTAAATTTGTCTCGCATATAGTCTATTAATGAGGGTAAGAACTCTTGATTATAAGTTACTCATTCTTAGGATTCAAACACAAGACTTCTACATAAGAGTGGATGAATCTCATTCATCTCCGTGCGGATGCACGCTCACATACACACACAAACAATTGTAGATAATTTTAGACAAATTTGTATAGATTGAAATTAATTTTAAATGGTTAATTGTATACTTACTATGATTCATGTCATCTGTACTTTTCGTATGAGACACATGTGCAATGTACATGTCCAGACGCTATTGTATGTGTGTGTGTAAAAAATGCATCTTTTAAATTGTGTCGATAAGTTATTTTCTACTTCAACATTTTATTATTTAATTTGCATGTTACCTTGTGTAAAAAACGACACGTTTCAAGTTAGATTCTAAACAAGGTCGCTCTCAATTTGCTTCAAGAAAATATGGTCATGCTCTTTTTCATTCAATGATTGAAGAATCACATTCAAGGGGTCAAGTGTACAAAGATAAAGAATTTGACCCACTTAATTTCACAAAGTTTTTAGTCAAGAAATTAGATAAGTCTTTCATTTTTTAAAATGTTAAAGCAGATGACGATCAAAATATGCACTTAAAATTGAAGCTTTAGAATACAATCATAGGATCAAGGGTGTGAAGTAACTCCTAAAAAGTGTTTCTCTTGTAGTGTTCACTCAAACATACATTTTTTATGGTGTTTTTCTTTATTACTCCCTCCGTTTAAAAAGATTCGTCTTATTTCCTATTTAGTTTTTTTTTAAAAAAAGAATGACCCTTTTCTCTTTTTGGCAACACTTTAACTTTAACTTTTTATGTGACATGTTTATGACCACAGGATTAAAGGTCGTTTTTGGTATATTTGACATAACATTAACTTAGAATCACAAGATTGAAAAGTCTTCTTTCTTTTCTTAAACTTTGTTTCAAGTCAAACTAGATCATTGTTTTTGAAACTTTGGGAGTAGTATCTTAGTTGTCCTTGTCATTTCCACTCCCTTATTTTTTATTTGAGTACAGTCTCCTAAATGTTGGTATTAATAAAGTTCAAATTTCTTCATTCAAAAATTATTTTTCTACTCTTCTTTTTATCAACATGTTCAAGGAGTAAGTCCTAATAAGAGTGTTTCTCAACTCTCCAATATTTAAAAATTAAAACAATTAACCAGTAATTCATTAGAGATAAATCAATAACTTTTTTTTGAATTATTGATTTTGGTTCGATCTTGGCCATGCTTGTACACACAAAGATAACTTGTGACATTTCATAAAACCCCTTTCAAGAATCAAATTCTGTATGAATTCAAACAAAAATATATTTCTAGCGAACGCTCAACCGAAAGATAAAAATAAACAAGAGCAATCTTAGTGCCTCAGTTATTTGACTATCCAAACTTTCACCTTATTGATGAGAGTTCGATTTCCCAACTAAAAGAGAATTTCACTTCTCTCAAAAGTCAGAGCTAAAACAGAGAAACAAAAACAGAGTCAAAAGGAAGAGATCAATTACTAGTTTCAGGTTCGACGATGACGAGAGCTTTGGAATCATCGGGTTTGTCTTTCGATTCTTCAGAAGGAGGTACAGTTGATAAGACGATGGCTTTCTCCTCCGCGGCATGTTCAGCAGTCTCCACTTTCTTGGCTTCTTCTTCACCCATATCTAAATCGAATTTCAGAATTGTGAGATTCAATCAGAGAGTGGGGTTGAAGAGAAGATATGTGTAATGGATAGTTGAAATAAATGTTGCCTTTAGAATAAAGAGAAAAGCTAGAGACAGAGTGGACACCCATTTATATAAGCTTAGCTGGATTATGATTTGTACATTTGTTGTAAAGGACCCCATTTTGTCAGCTGTCACAACACTCTCATAAACTTTTGTAAATATATAATCATGATTGATACAGTCGTTGGCCTAACTAAAATGATACGAAACAGGATGTCAAATTAAACTTTAAATAGTTTATGGGTTTATTATCCGTTATTCGATATTTACAATTGAATTCGATTAATCTAGATTCACATCAAGTAAGATTCCCTCAGCAGTAGAGCTCTCAAGGAATCTTTTTTTATATTCAAAACCGAAACTAAACTATATAATTACGGGAGGAAAAGTCTAGTCTCATTAAGTGCACTACATAAATTCAACTCTAAGCATGATTAGCCCATCCTAACACTTTCGGTTAATAATTGTGGTTCTCGCACTAGGTATCCAACAGGTGGAAGAAAAATATGATTAAAATATCTTGTTTGTCAAAAATACAATGCAAAAATTACTTATATTTTTGTAAAATCAAACTCAAAATAATACTACGAAACATGAAAGTTGACAAGTAATATTGAGAAATAGGAGAAAATATTTGCCTTGATTTTTTAAGCAAGTATCTCTCAAGTGTATATGATATGAATTCTTATACCACTATTTATAGTAATAGACTAGTTTTGGACACTTATGTTATATGTATATCCCGTGCTAAATTGTGTGGAGTTTGTATAAATGTATTTTTTTTTGCTAATTTTTCCATTTCGATTTTTGGAGAATATTCCATGATATATTATCTATATTAAACTTGCCCAAAACTAACTGGTAAGCGTAGCCCCATCCATTACACCAAATTCTTTGGAGCTAACTTACCACTTAGTAAATTCATGAGCGCGCACAAAAGGAAATTTCTTTACAAAAAGTAAAATTAATATTGAAAAATAAGATAAATCATTTGCTAAAATACCAAAATTACATCAAATTCTAAATTTCTTTAAATTATCGTTATACACATGCTACATGCTAACTCCATTTTACAACTACCTCAAGGTTAGAAGTTAGAACAGTGCAATTTGTATCATAAAAATAAAATCCAGGAAGGAGAAAAACCACATGGTACATTATTTTACTTTACTTTTACTACTATACTATAATAGAAATGGCTTGTGTGATTAGATGTTTTTTTTATTTCAAATCTGAGGTTATATTTGTCTTTTCACATACCTTAGTATTTCTGTGGAGGTGTCTTGAATGAACACATCATTGTTTATGTGTCCCTTCATTTTCATTTATTTCATTATTGTTGTCTGTGCATCAATTCCTTCTTGTTAGTGATCAATTGTTTCTCTTCTTTATCTGGGAAGTTTCTTCCATCGTCAACTCAAAAATCTCAATATATGCTCAGGTAATGAACAATTAAAATTGATTTTTGGCTCAGTTTGATAATCTTGAGAAAAAAAAATAGATTTAAGTTTGTTGTGATGTTTTAATTTTTCCACTTTTTTATATTAACAAATATCAATTTTTCATTTCTCCCATCTCTTTCTGGCTGGTGTGTTATTATTTTCACATTATTTTATTCATAAATTCGATCTGGGTCTCTTCATACTCATAATTTTTTTCAATTTGAGTTTGTTGATGTTCTATTTTTGCTTTTGCTTAGGAGAAGTTTTGTTGTTTCATTTTTTCATTCGTCAATGTTGTGTTTTAATGTTTTTTTGTCACATGCAGTAATTAATTTGACCTTCTTTCTGTTCATATGGATTTTTGGTGCAATTAAAGGGGATTAAAATTCAGAACAGATTTGATTCCTAGCGAATCAACTTTTTGGTTAGCTTCACATTATCAATGGCCACCAACATTTCAAGGGAGCAATTTAGAAAGAAAAAAAGAATGATGAGATATTAAAATTAACCATCTTGTTCCTAACTCCATGTATGTTTTGTAAGTTTTTGTATCTATGTAAATGGTGTATCAAGTCATTGTCAGCTGAGTTGGCCTTTCTGCAGGTGAGACCCTCAAATTAGCAAGTTCACTTTATATGCTATTTTGTTTCATGAAAATGTCTTTGTATTGTTGATGTTAGTCGTAGCATCATAAATCGTATTGTTTTGTATAGAAAAGGAGAATACTAGCAGAAAGTTGAAAAGATATTTCATAGATCGTATTGTTTTGTATAGAAAAGGAGAAAAGAGTATTCGATTATATTAGAAGGTTGACAAGGTAAACATTGATATGTTTTACTTTTTTTTTATAGTATAATAAGTAGTTTATTTGCATTTTTTTCTCTTTTCTTTGTAATTTATTATCAAATGTCTTAATTAATTGCTAAAGTAGTGAATCTAGCGGATGGAATTTCACCATAACATATTCAACAACAACGCATAGATGAAATTTCATGTATTGCATTTTTAGATTGGATATTTTTTATTATATATGCATTAAAGCAATGAAGGAAGAAAAGAGTCTCATCACAAGTGTGATGCATTGGTTCTTCCTTATATTTAACATTTTAAGATTCGAGGATTACATTTTTTATGCCTCAATTACTATGTTTATGTTAGGATATACTATTAACCATGCGTTTTGATATAGTATTAACATTGAACAATTGTTTATTTATTTATTCAATTCAATAAAGTGTTACATTAAATAGATCAATTGTCATATATGTGTCCTTAACTTATATAGTAGATGATTTGGTGTATAGAGTTTAAGATTATACACAGAAGATTAAATCATCAGTTCTTATAAGTTAAAATTTATAGTTCACAATCTT